CAGGTTGTGTTTTAGACAGGCCGCAGACTAATGACCAAGCAGGCAGGTGGATCAATAGCAATTATCTCATTGCAGATCGCAGATGTCCAGTGACCCGAGCAAGCAGCATAGGTGGTGTCTGTCCTGGGTTACGGTTAGGATCAATACATGGTCACACTTTGAAGTATTACGCCACAGTTTACTTTCGTTATCCACAAAAATGCCATTGCTTCTTTTTCAAGGAACTGGAGAAAATTGAGATAGAGATAATATCAAGTTTAAGTGTGTGCCGTATGTGTGTACTTTAGTATTATTTATATATTTTTTGTGTGAATATTTTAAACATTTAGAATTATTATTATATTTGTAGTTTTCATTTTTTATTTTAGTTTTAGTCATTTTGCTATGTGCTTTTGTCGTTTTAATTACATTTTTGTTTTTAATATTTCTATTTATCCATTTTTTCAGTTTTTCACTCTCTTAAGTTACTAAACTTATTTTCATGAATAGTTTTTTATTTATAGCTCTGTGGAATACTTGATTCTGATTGGTCAGTCGCGACATTCCAAGGTATGCTATCCCTCGATAACAACCGGTAAAAGCTAATAACACAGAGACCAAATGCAAAGCTTCCACCAAGAAAAAATTGTTCAAGCAAGAGTACAGCGCCGACTGCTGTTTCTCGGATGAGCCTGTGTTATTAGCTTTTACCGGTTGTTATCGAGGGATAGCATACCTTGGAATGTCGCGACTGACCAATCAGAATCAAGTATTCCACAGAGCTGTGTAATAAATAAATATATATATATACAGTATATACAGTATATAGCTAATTTATTCCTTGATTTTTAACTGCCACTCCACCCTTCCTTAAAAACACTAGAGCCATAGCTAAATAAATTGTTCCGAAACGGAATGTTAAACTAGATTCAACAAATAGTATATTATAGTCAGGAGTCAGCTTGTGTAACCTGGCGTTAGCCTGAGGAAAAAAAGAGAGTCTAAGAATCCTGAAGAAACTAACTCACATCGGGTCACCCTGTTGACCTCTGGAACAAACAGTACCAAACCACCTGACCTCACTCATGTTTACACCCTGTCCTCACTGCCGCCCATTTAGGTTAAAGCTTGACCTCATGACCCTCATCATCAGGAGCAGGTAACATCATGGAGGAAATTACTGGAGCTTAGTGAACGTCACAGGGTGGAGAAGGCACAAAACAGGCACTGTTTATTACCCATGTCCCAGTACGTCTGTCAGAGCGTTATGCAAGATTTAACAGATATGCTTTTATTTCACGCCGAGTGCAATTAATCTAAACAGCAGAGGTTTGTGTCACACAAGCTGTCAAAATCATTGAGGTTTGATGAAAAAGCAAGGTGATGTCATTGGACTGACCAGGTTGTCCTGTCCAAGAGTCCATTTGTGTGTTCAAGTACACACAAGGACAAAAGTACAAGCATGTCCTTGTGTTCATGGGTGTTTGCCTGAAGCAAGAGGCCGAGAGATGAAGAAAAGTGTGATTGAGCGGTCGGGAAACATATCCAGCACCCTCTCTTAGACGTGACGGTGAGTGAAATCCAATAGTGCCTGTAATAAAGTTAATTTTTCCTGACTACTCAGTCTGTCTCCTCTGTAGACGAACACAAAACACCTTTATGCTGCTGTACTGGAGCTGCACTTAACAGTTCGAAATGAAAATCCCACTCGATCGTCGAGTTATTCAACCCATTTCTGTTATATATATATCAGTATCCCCCAGGTCTAAAGTAGCCTTTTTATGTTAATGGCCGCCCTCTGAATCCATTCAAGCGTGCCCACAATATCAAACTCACTCTCCTGCCAACCTTCTATCTCAGAGATGTGTTGCTATGGTAACAGTGGGCCGAATTGAGTTATGTATCAAAATAATTTTTCTGACCCACAGGTATTTTCATCGTCATACTTGACTAAACACAGCAGAGGGAGTCTGCCATTAACATTGTTGCCCATAATAAAAATGTTAAGCGCAAAGTACAAGCACAATCAGGACTAAAAAAAGAGCAGTGTTACTGAAAAACGTAGCCTGTATCAGATCAAGCATGATTAAAATTGGTAAAATATTGGGTGCTTAATATTTGGAACCCTTAAAAAGGTTTTATATAAAATGGCTTTTAAAGGTTCCATCAAAAATGTTCTATATATATACACATATACATATGTACATATACATCTAAGTATTTGATACACTGCCGATTTTTCAAGTTTTCCCACTTACAAAGAATGGAGAGATCTGTAATTTTCATCGTAGGTACACCTCAACTGTGAGAGACCGAATCAAAAAAAAAATCCAGAAAATAACATTGTATGATTTTTTTAATAATTAATATCCATTTTATTGCATGAAATAAGTATTTGATACAATAGAAAAATAGAACTTAATATTTGGTACAGAAATCTGTGTTTACAATTACAGAGGTCAGACGCTTCCTGTATTTCTTGACCAGGTTTGAGGTGTAGAACCATCTCAAGGATGATCAGAAGAAATGGACAGCACCTGAGTTAAATATGTGAGTGTCACAGCAAAGGGTCTGAATACTTAGGACCATGTGATATTTCAGTTTTTCTTTTTTAATAAATCTGCAAAAATGTGAACAATTCTGTGTTTTTCTGTCAATATGGGGTGCTGTGTGTACATTAATGAGGAAAAAAGATGAACTTAAATGATTTTAGGAAATGGCTGCAATATAACAAAGAGTGAAAAATTTAAAGGGGTCTGAATACCTTCCGTACCCACTGTATATATTAATGCAACATATAGAAACTTTTTGGGGTTCCAAATATGGAACGCAGACTGTTGCATTCATAGGAATAAATTACATTTTTAAATATATTTAAACAGAAAATAGTTATTTTGAATTGTAATAATATTTCACAAAATTACATTTTTTTCTGTATTTTTGCAGCCTTGGTGAGAATAAAATACTTTTTTCAAAAACATTTGTTACAAATCTTACCAACCCCAAACTTCTGAAAAGTCAATTATATCATGGTTAATATTTTCTTGGATCAGCATCAAATGTACCCAAGATCAGATAAGAACATAATTAAACATAAGAATTTAAGTCATAAGAAAAAGATATCAACAAATGAAGTTCAACACAAGTGTATGTTTGCTTTCTGGAAGCCGAGTTACCTGATCAAACACCGTAAATGGATTGCTGGACTGGGGACATTTTCAGTCACCTCTCAGATCTTAAATACACACACAGCGTGTAAAACTAATAAAAGATTAAAAACATGCTGTGAATTAATGCACTTGATTAAGAAGACTAATGAACTGTTGATGACACAATAATAACAATCATTTGTAAATTTCATTTCAAGCTCATTAATAAACCAAAAAGGAAAGCATAATAATAACAATAAAAAAAAGTAGGCATTGTAAATCCACCCTTCAGACATTAATGGGGCCAGGCATACTAAAGGTTTGCTGAGCACAAATGTGCAGCTCATATTTTTACTGAAGTGCTTACATGAACTCTTGAAATGTTTTTACAGCTGTAAAATTGTCTAAATCATCTAGACTACAGGGAATTTGCAGGGTAGAGAGGTAAACATTCCCTTTCTGGTATCCTTTCACATATCGTTAAAAACTTAAACGGTTTTAATAGTTAAAAATTGGGTGTAATTTTACATAGACAAAATTACTAAGCATTTAAAGGAATGGTTACTTGCTGCAGAAGTAACAGTTCTTCCAAAACCTAAAATTTACTCACCCTCAGGCCATCAAAGATATAGATGAGTTTGTTTCATTATCAAAACAGATTTGGAGAATATTAGCATTCCATTAATTGCTCACCAATGAACCCTCTGCAGTGAATGGGTGCCGTCAGAATGAAAGTTTAAAAAGCTGATAAAAACATCACAATAATTCACAAGTGATCTACACAACTCCAATCCATCAATTAACGCCTTGTGAAGTGAAAAGCTGTGTTTTTGAAAGAAACTAATTCATTAACGTCAAACCTTTGTTTCTAGCTAAAATATCCTATATTCTATAGTCCTCTATCCATAATATTGCTTTCTCCACTGGAAATTTTGTCTCACCTGAATCAGGAGATAAATATGCACATATTAAGCACCGTTGACGAATGAAATCAGTCCAAAACCTTTCTAAACAAATATGTCAGTGGATTTTTTTATGTGAGAGGACATGGGATGGATGCTTCTGCTGGAGGAAGCATTATTATGGATTATGGACTTTGGCCAGAAGCAACAGTTTAAACGCCTTAATGATGGATTTGTTTCATACTAATTATGCAGCTTTTCACTTCTCAAGTTGTTAATTGATGGACTGGTGTGGATTATTGTGATGTTTTTATCAGCTGTTTAGACTCTCATTCTGACGGCACCCATTCACTGCAGCGGATCCATTAGTGAGCAAGTGATGTAACGTCGAATTTCTCCAAATCTGTTTCAATTATACATAATACAAACACCATCCACCATCTCCAGGAACTCAAACAAAATTATAACTCAGCAAGTGTACAAAATAAATAAATCTTTATTAATGATTTGCATTAGATTATCCCTTATGCATCCCAAGCGGAAAGGGAACATGTCCCCTTTGTCGCATAAATCAATTAGTATTACAGTTCATTACAGCTTAGACAAAAAAACAAAATACAAAAAACAACAACTCATTCATACAGAGGAAAATTAAGTCGAACACTTTAAATCCTCATCAGAAGATTTGACAGACTATCCACTGCTGTTTGCAAGAATAAAAACATTTTATGGGTGTGCTAATGTGTGTGCATATATATATATATATATATATATATA